AGAAACCACGTGGCTCTAAGCAGAGTGCTTCAAGATGCAGGGCACCACTGCCAGTGAAGCTGAGGAAATAGAGGGATCCACTGGCCAGGTGCTTTATGGGGTGGTCCTTCTCTCTGAGGAGTTCCTGTTGCTCACCTTCACCTTTAGGCTATAGATATGGGCAGGCTCCATGTCCAGATGATGATGGAAGGTCTCACAGGAAGTCCCCCAAATAGGACAGAGGACTCAAGTGGCATATTTTAGATCCTGCATTTGCCCAGGCAGAGGGGAAGGTGGGTATTTCTCTCTTCTCTGGCAGTAGCAGAGGTGACCACATGCAAATGACCATATGCTTGGCTGAGGAGATCTTGTCCTCTTTATAACTAGGCCCTGGGAGAGAGGCTCTTACTATGTACTAGACACTATGTTAAGTACTCTATCCATATTGCCTCATTTAAACCTCAGATATTACTGTCTCCATTTTAGAAGTAGGATCTCCTTCCCAAGATACATGCCTGGCCAGTATGCCCTTGAACTTGGGAAGGATGACCATATGTCCTATGACATCTCCTAATCAAGAGTCACCTCCTGGCTGAGGCTTCCTGACCACCCTATTTAAACTTTCTCCCTTCCTTGTTTTACTTTTCTGTGTGGCACTTGCTGTTACCTCTAACAAGCTTTTGAGTTTCTTATTGTCTGTCCCTCTCCTTCCCCAGCTCCACTAAAATGTAAACTCTATGAGAGCAGGGGTTTTTGTTTAGTTTGCTCTCCCAACTCTTTCCCTGCATCTAGAACAGTGATTGTCACATGGTAGGCCTCAATAAATAAATTTTGAAGGAATGAGTGAGGCTCAGATGCATTTAATGACTTGCTGAATGTGGCAGTGCTGGTCTCAATCCAGGGCTGTCTGACTCCAAAGCCAATGTGTTAATTGCTGTACTCCATGGCTTAGAATCAGTGTAAGGACCAAGGCACAGCCCTGGGGTTAAGAGAAGACCTTGAAGTAAGGATTTGAATTAAGAGGCTGATAGTGACCTCTGCACCCTGGGAAGCTCCTTCGAGGAGTTGAGAGCCTGAGCCCAAGTTGTGTCTGGTATCTCTAATCTGAGTTACTGCACTGGTAAAGCCAAAGCACCCTTCCTTATTTTTAGTGCTATTACTGTTGTAGTACTATAACCATTAGCTAGTAAGAGACTTAAGGGAAGAGATAAACGTTAATCTTCTGGGCCTTTTTCTCAGCTGCCACCTCTACATTGCAAGATGCTGGTCTCTCATTCCTGTCTGGGCAGCCAAGCCCAAGATTTGTGCATCAGAGGTGGTAAGGTGAATGATTACAGACGGGGCCAGTGCATCTGTAGATTAGGGACTGCCTAGCTTGGTACCTGTGTCTCAAGTCTGGGACTGGGAGGAAGGTGAGGTTGCTCCAACATCTAGCCAGATTGGGAAAAAGCAAGCTTCCCCAAGCCATCAAGCATAGCTATCGTTGCTTCCTTGAGTGCCCTTGCTTATAGGACTCCCTAGTTATATCCCTTTACCTGGGACCAAGGGATACCAAGCAATGAGTATTGGGTGTTACCTGGGATTCTCCTAGATACATCCTGGTCAGTGGACATGTAGAACCTGAGGATAGGAAGGAAGGCATGACCCAGATCTTTGGGCAGCTGGGATGGATTAGCTGGGCAGCAGGAACTAATCTCTGCCTGTTCCCACCTCCTTTCACAAAGCAGAGCTATCACTAGAGGGAAAGTGGAGGACAAAGCTGGAGGTGGTTGGTGAAACAACAAATATGAACTCCTTCAGACTATAATCCTTACAATATCTTAAACCAACAGGCCAGGGTTCTATCCCTTTTCTGCTGTGGAACCTTAGATAAGTTATTAACTTTTCTGGGCCTCAGTTTCATCACAGCAATCTATGATGGGAGGCAGTTATAGCACCTACCTGCTGGGGTGGTTGTGAGGGTCATAGGAGGCTTTACAGGGGCATTCTGCTGTTTAGGGGAAACTTATTAATGGCTTATGTCTGGAATTTTCCATGTGATATTTTTGGGTGTAGAGAAACCCCTACCAAGAAATATAGGAATTGCTTGGCTTGGGGAATCAGGGTGCATTGGACTCAGTCCCCCAGAACCTAAAGTCTTTACTTGATATTCTCACTTTTTCTTATTCTGTCATTCCAGACTAGGTCCATATTACCTGCATCCATTTCCTGTCTGTGTTACCTTGAGTAGGTTATTTTATCTTGTTAAGCCTCAGTTTCCTCATTTGTAGTGTAATATAGCTAATCAGATGGCCCACTTCACAGAGTTTCTGTGAGGATGAAATGTGATAATCCTGGCCTTTGCCTAACATGTGATAAATGCTTAGTGAGTGATAGTTATTACTGATACTGTTGTTATTAATAAGTCCTTATTGAGTCCCTGTTTATGGAAAGAACTCTAGGAAGTACTATTTAGAAAGATCCCCACTCCTTTGAAGAACTTGTGACCAAAACCGTTGTGGGCTGGGGATGTGGCTCAAGTAGTAATGCTCTCGCCTGGCATGCGCAAGGCACTGGGTTCGATCCTCAGCACCACATAAAAATAAAATAAAGATGTTGTATCCACCAAAAACTGAAAAATAAATATTAAAAATCCTCTCTCCTCCCCCCCCCTCTCTTAAAAAAAAAGAAAAAAGAAAAAGATAACCGTTGTACTATGTGATGTGAGAATCATGAGAAGCACAGGGGGAAGCTGAGGGGTAGCCAGAGGTGGGAGAAGTCACAGTCTACTAAGAGGAGCAGGGAAGACTAAAAAAGAGGTGGCCTAGCAGATTCCAGTAGTCAGAGAGAATTAAAGTAGGGAGGCTCCTAGACCTCCTAGCTCAGAGCAGCATTTTCTCTACTTCCTGGAGCTCTGCCTTCCTGTGGAAGGAATTGACCCATGCAACTCACTTGGATCTGAGGACTTGCGGATTCTGGTCATTTCCTAACAATAGAGTAATCCCAAAGGCAGAGTGTGAAGAAGTCAGAGCTCACATCAGTAGGTGACCAGGAGGATCCGGGGGAGAAGCAGAACTTGTGCTTTGGTTTCTCCTATAAAATGGACATCATAGACTGGGGTTGTAGCTCAGTGGTAGAGCACTTGCCTAGCAAGGGTGAGGCACTGGGTTTGATCTTCAGCACCACTTAAAAATAAATAAATAAAATAAAGGTATTGTGTCCTACAACTAAAAATAATTTTTTAAATGGGCATCATAATATGAGGATATGAGGATAAATTGCAAGATGTGTCTGACATAGAAGTGAGCTGACTAAATATTTGTTGTTATTATTTTAAGTCATATTATCTTAATCATTAACATCTTCATTGTCAGGATCATTGTGTTTTGGCATTACCATGAGGACTACATAAGAAAATATATGCAGAATTCCTGGCATAGTGTCTGGTCGTGTATTAGGTTCAGTGTGACTTTAGCTATTACACTAGTCTCCCCTCATCCTTGGTTTGGCTTTCCACAGTTTCAGTTACTTGTGGTCAACCATGGTCCAAAAATATTACATGGAAAATTCTAGAAAAATTAACAACTAATAAATTTTAAATTGCATGCTGTCTGAGTAGTATGATGAAATCTCTTGCCATCCTGCTCCATCCCACCTGGGATGTGAATCACTTCTTTGTCCAGCTTCTCCATGCTGTATAACTCCCTACCTGTTAGTCATTTAGTGGCCTTCTTGGTTATCAGACTGACTGACTTGTCACAGTATCACAGTGCTTTTATGTAGGATTTAATATCCTCCACAGTTTCATGCATATACTGGGGGTGTTGGAAGGTATCCTCTTCAGATAAGGGGACACTACTCAGTATTTCTTCTTCTTTTTGGGGGGTGGGGGTGGTAGTAGAGATTGAACCCAGGAGCACTTTACCACTGAGCTACATCCCCAGCTCTTTTTATTGTTTAAAAAGAATGATATAGGGCAGGGGTTGTGGCTTAGTGGTAGAGCACTTGCCTAGCATGCATGAAGAACTGGGTTTGGTCCTTGGCACCACATAAAAATAAAAAATAAAGATACTGTGCCCACCTAAAACTAGAAACTAAAAAAATAATATAAAATAAAAAGAGTGATATAGGGTCTTGTTAAATTCCCCAGGCTGGACTTGATCTTGTGATCCTCCTGCCTCAGCCTCCCAGGTTGCTAGGATTACAGGTGTGTGCCACCACACCCAGCTGTGTAAATACTTCTTTTTTTTTTTTTTTTGGTACTCGAGATTGAACCCAAGGGTGCTTAATCACTTAGCCATCTCCCCA